CTTGCAAATTTCCCATTTTAAACGGAATTAAATATACCATTTACCAGGTAGGTAAATATTTACTAATGTTTTGCTGCATATTTTGTATAGATAGGGATGTATTTTTACAAGGCTTTCTGATTTATATGTTAGATATTGTTTTGTCTATGCTTGGGGCTGTGTATTGTAATTGAGTTTGAATATTTTTATAATAGAAGGTAATATGATAGTGAGGTTCCCTCATAATTGTAGGGGGAAAATCATATAACTGTATTTTTCGAGTTTAATAAATGTTTCATCAGCATTTCCATCACGTCTGTTGTGTTCATATTAGTCATGTTGCTGGTCAAGCTGAAGTAGTGGGGCAGTGTTCTATACGTGCGCAGTGAAGCGCAATGAAATCAAACGCATTTTTAATCCAAAAATTTCCAATTGCCTATGTGTAAAATTCGAAAGTCAGCGTCAAAATCCATGGAGTTGTTGTTATGATCCGCCATCATTGTGGTCAAACGGAAGTAGTTCTCACAATTAGATTTGTTAATGCGCCTTACAATCAGATGAGCGTCAATCCACAATTGATGCCGTCTGATTTTTCTGAACAACCAATCAGAATCTAGTATTTTCTTGATTCATGGTAGAATTAACTGTGACGTTGCAATATTGTTGTACAAATGTATTACACCGACTCCCTCGGCTGTGTTCCAATGACGTCAGAGGTCGTACTTGCCTCATATTGTTATGGTTCTGTCAGGCTTCAGTACAGTGGTGTTGTCTACATTACGGAAATAAAGAGATTCTGTTTATACCGTTATTATGAACTTTTAGGGGACTTTTGTTCGTTTGAATTTCTGTTTTTTCCTCGTAGCTGTGCTCAAAGCCCATCGGAACCGATTCAGTTGCCACAAGCTGCAAGAGGAGACTGTCTTCCATATGCACTGGACTGTTGTGTTTGGACATTTGAATCAAACATGGTGTTAGTGTGTTTTGGCACCCTTGTTTTTTCACTGTTTTTTGACAATGTGTCATTTCACTCAAAGTCAACGAATATTGAATCAGTTGCTTCACTGCAAGTTCTAACATGTTTAAGGATGTTCGCTGGTAATATAAATAGTATTAAACTTTTTTTCTAATTGGTATATTTTTAAAGTATGACGTTTGTATTTGTAAAAACAGCCCAGAAAAGGAGGGGGTACTGAGGGTTTTCTGGAGATATGGAGTCTTGAAGAATCCTTTTAACATGGGAGTCTATGGGAAAATCAGCAAAGTTCTGACATGATCCCTCATTTTCATAATTTCTAGTATTTAATTTTTTTTAAAATCCCGATATGTTAATGACATGTTTTGCCATAAAAATAAGTATAAAAAAACATGGGTCACTGAGGGTATTTTTCCACTATGACACTATGTGTAACATTATATTACATATTTGCACCAATGTTATGTAATTTTCATGATAAAATTAAGGATATATGTGGCTTAAATAGTTTTTCCTCAAATATTTGAATGACTTACTGCATTGACAATTAAAATATCTTAGCTTAAGTGCATCCATGCTAACATTTATCTGATATTTTAAGCGAAAAGGTGAAGAGTTAAGAAATTTGACACACTGGGCATTATTCACCATTGACTGAAATGGTTATATCATTATAGACTCAATGGAGTAATTATTTAATAATATTATTTTGAAATAACAAAACACACACAATCTTAACAATGAAATGTTACATTTATTACATTATTGTACTTTTTATTTCATATCATACATACATGTACATTTGATTTTATGCATAACATTTTGGATATGAAAGTTTAGCATTATAATCACTTGATGTAACAGCTATGTACACATCTATGTTATAAATGAAAAAACTATTAACACGTCCTGGTAATATATTTAATAAGCCATTTATAATAAATAAAGTAATCAGTGAACTATATCACAATTCATGAAGTTAAATAGATATCAATAAGTTAGGAAGGTTAATCTGTTATTTCAACATGATTTTTACACTATCACATAAAAACATGCGGTGTTGTGGATATAACAAAATGTTGGGCTTGTATTGAAGCCAAACATATATTCCACAATAAACAATAACATTTGTATGTATTTGCAAATGAATAATCAGCTAAAGCATGATAATTCTTAAATTCAAGCTAAATGATCTCATTTACATGAAAGAACTAGGTGCACACATTCAAATATACTTAGGTGACATAATTTCCTAAGGTGACAATTCAAAATTAAAGAGGAATGATAGTTAAGATCTGCTGAAATCTTCAATGTGTCACCGTGACCTTGAAAAATATGTCAAGGTCACCAAAAACAACAGTTATCCCTGCACCTTCTCTAGATGAAGTTTGGTGTCAAGTATGAAAAGAAATCCAGTGAACTGTTTTTGAGATTTATTATATGCTAAACAGTGAGAAAAGTGCTCATCACTACAGTGAGATATCGCTTTTCTCATCACTGTGAAAATATCACAAAGAGGATGATGTAACCTGAACATCAGCCGTTGCTAAGTGACAGTGCAACAATGGTATGATGACATCAGAAACAGCTAAAGTGGACCATTTTCCATCAATGAAGCATATAATAAGCAATAAAATACCCTCTATATCTCGCTGACTTTAATAAAGTGTTAGCTCCCTTGTAATCGTGAAATGGTGAAACCTGACTGGGAACTTTCTCATACCATTTTGACTGACTGACTGACTGAGTTTGGTTTTACGCCAAAAATTGGGCTTCACACATTGTACCCATGGGGGGATTCGAACCCGGGTCTTCGGCGTGGCGAGCCAATGCTTTAACCATTAGGCTACCCCACCGCCCCCATACCATTTTGTACCTAGGTACCAAATATGAAAAGAATCTAGTTAATGGTTCCAGAAATATTCCAATTTGTTTGTATGAACGGACGGATGGAGAGAACCTAATACCCTCCACTTCATGCTAAACTCGCGGTGGGGGGTTAAAATATCTGTTAAGATAATCGAATTCTACAGTGTAAAGCACTGAACTAAAAGAAATACAGGTCATCTTGAAACAACAAAGTTTGATCAAACTGTTACTTTGGAAAGGTAGTGAGATAGAGAATTTACAATCTTCTGAGAGCTTGTTACCCTGAATTTGTTCTGGTACTTTTCAGCAAACACATTGGATAATCCAATATCTCCCTGTCTCTTGTAAACTACTTTCAAGTGGTCAAAGCACTAGAGGCTATCTTTCTGGCCATATTTGTAGATAAAACCTTTTCACACACAAGGTGTTGAAGGCTTGGAAGATTAGCTTTTATAGCTTTAGACGGTGCCAAGGAGTCTGTACAGTACTTCACACAAAAAGTAGATTGGGTCTTTGCATCAAGAGAAGCATGACAAGCTGAGTACAGCTGTGGCTGTGACAATGACAAGGCATCTGACAAGGCATCTGACAAGGCACCATGTGCAACATAGTCACTCCCCACAATATTGTAAAACAACTCAACCTGAGCGTATGAATTAAGTCCAGGATTTGTCAATTTGAAAAGCTGAAGTGTATCTAGAAAACCATGTACATGATTTGAAAATTGTGGTATGTAATCAATGGCAAGTAATGCATTGAAAAGTAATGGACAATCATATAACTTGATATTGTGCCTAACCAGAACATTGCCTTCACTTTTGCTAAGAAAAGAAATCAGGTCTCCAATAGCCGTCTTTAAAGATACAGGATAAACTTCTTCACCGTAGTGAAACATCCTTCTCCCCTCAACACGTATGCCAGTGACCTGTGCAGCAGCTGGAGTAATCTGTACCTCGGGTACAACGTAGCGGTTGAATCGTTCTTCACCCAGGACTGCAGCTAACTGTGTCACATGAGATGTTCTCGCTATAAGAAAATAAAGCAAGACATAAGAAGGCATTCATATAAAAAAGTACTTCCTTTTATAGATGTTAAGCAACCCCCCTACCCCCACCCTTGTATTATTGATTACACAAATAATGCCAGAACACTTATTAGATATTTAGATCAAATATATATATTTATAGAGCACAATTTTAAACATTCAGGTATACATGCATTGTGAGTCTAACTTTTGCAGGGTAGTAAATTCAAGATCTTAATATTCAAATATATCTTACAATGCATAGTGTCCTCGTCAGGATAAAAGTCAACAGATATTTTTTATATCCGTTGGGGTCATATGCGGGTATCGATGCAAATTAGAGAGATCAAATGCCTCAACTTCCATTCAAAATCATTATGAAGTCACTCTATTGAATATTTGAAACGCCAAGCAAAGTGTATCAAAATTATTAAACATGGTAAAACATAGCATCTATCAAAATTTAAAATATCTCCAAATGGGTTCTTGCTTCTATAATCTATCATTCACCTGTGTTTCTCTGAAATGCATTAATGTGCACATTTCAGGGCATTTTCTATCAGCTACATAATGTTGCAGGTCATTTAGTGGTAATAGAAAAGAAGAACGACATGGTACGATAAAGATGTTATCGCACAAGTGTATTTTGGGATGGTAAATAGTATTTATTCCTAATGCTAGGTATTTACCATCCCAAACCTGATTCGTGCGATAATCTCTATTTCCATTTCACATATAGTTTTACATACCTAAGTAGGGACCGCAGACCAAATTTTTAAATATAAGGGATATTTTTTTGCCTATTTTTTTTAGGTCTAGTAACCACTGAGAAGTAAAGCAATGATGTTACTTTTACAAAAATGTATGTGCTTTAGCCTACAGAGGTCCCCCCAAGCGGAACCGCTGACGTCACCCATTTTCGCATTTTTAAGAACAATTTTGGCCACTCAACTGCTCCAAGGAAATATATGTTTTCATGGAAAAAACTGTTCCAGTCTGTTGAGTAGATGTTGTTGCATATTTCCCCAAAGTTTCCTTTGAAAATATTCATAATTTTTTTATCTACTGGTATGTGTTTGCATGGAAATATCGTTGTGAGACAAAAACAGAGACAATATCAAGTCAAAAAATCATGTTTATTATCATATTATATTTTCTTCTAAGCAATTATGCATATAGTATCACTGAATGTTGTCACGTTTAGTTCAGAATACAATTTCTTCATCCTGTTCATGTGTATTTACATGCATTCAAGAACCAAAGTAAATTTTTTATCATGTTGCTTTTACTAAGGTTTTCGGCAAAAACTACTTCTCAAAATTCCTCTTTACCATTGTGTAAACTTCAAAATGAAATTATATTAATATAACACTCATTTGATTCTTGAAAATTATTTTTAAAGATAATAAAAATCTGAGCAAATATTTAAAATATTCAAAAACCATAATGATTGCTTGTTGTATATTCAAGTCGCAGTTCTGTCTTGAATCCAGTAAATAGTTCATATCCATAATCCAAATATATTACATGATTTGACACTTCTGTTCAGAGTATACTTGAAATGAAGCCTCACACAAAGAGGATCATACACATAAAAACGTTCTTTTCAGTCACTTCATTGTCTAACTATCTTTCAGTTTCATCACTGGTCCTGGATGTTTCCCATCTGTTTCAGAAATACGTGAAGAAAATACTTGAGTGTATAATAAAACATATAGACAAGACAGTTGGCATCACATCAGCACCGCTAAGACCAAATACATCAGCTTAGAATCATTGTGAAAATGATATTGACAAATACGTTTCAGAGTTTGAAACAGTTCAAATGAATTTTATCTTGATGCATTGTGTCATTTGCTGTGTTCTTCAAACCCATGTGTTTCCAGTATCTAGCTACACTTTGTAATACATGTTATCATAAACAGTCATAGCAATTCTTTGTAAAAATATTTTACTATGTCGTAGGTACCACGATTTTACAATCCACTACGACTCCACGTGGAGAGGAGTCGTATTACATACTTTCAACAGTTGCCACATTCGTCATGTGTTGCATATTATATGTAATAAATTGAGAGAGAGAGAAGAGAGAGAGAGAGAAAAGACACCGATTCTAAAAAATTCTTCATTTTCCTTACTAGATATATGCATTTTACGACACCATAACGGAGCTTTTAAATGTATCTTTTTACGATTGTGAATTGTGGTGGTCCGATTAATTGAAATAATCAAAGATTGGTTGCAATGGCTAAACGACCAAGCAATTGATGATGTTTTCTCAGAAGCGAACACAAACAATTCTGGAACACTTGTTTGCATTAACAATATTTTTCACAAGGTTGGTTTTGTCTGTTACATTTCATAAGCACTACAAGTTCGTTCCTCATCATGATTGAATTCTGTGCAATGTACAAAATAAACCCAAAGAACTACATGTTTTTTCTAGATTTTTTGTGCATTAAAACATTAAAGCACACAGTCAGGAAGATTTGATAAATGACGAAAACCAATTATTTTCGATGATTGATCGGTTGTAATGAATCAATCATCAATTATGAGATTTAACCAATTCCCAGTATTAATTGTGAATAGGTTATTGACATGTTATCATAGACAGTCATAACAAGTTCTCATATTTATCTTCCACAGTATTTTCTTCGAGATGAGGCATTCTTCAACCCTTGTAGCAGGAATCTCTAAAACACAACGAGTTCAATACAATATATAACATATGTATGTAATATAATACATTAATATATGTGCATTCTTAGCAGCCAAACACTTGACAGTTCAGAAAAAACCTAAAGCACATAAGAGAAGATTAACTCTTTAAAGATTCAATTGTCATCTGACATTAAACATACATGCCCCCATCCCATTACCCTACAATAAATGGCTATCACTTAATTTTTGTTCAGTTTTTGTTTGTATATAAAAATGAAATTTTCATACATGCAGTAACCATTTATTAAAAACGCTTTCATTAATTTTTATGTAGATAAATCTCGGTTTAAATACTAAACCTCTATGCAATACATAACATTTCACAATTTATTAATGATCCTTCCATCATCATGATCATACATTCAATCTGGTTTTCAATAAATATAAAAGTCAGCTTTAAGTGAACACAGTAAAAACACATTTTTATACACACAAGTGTTACCACTATTTCAACACACTAAAATGAACATGTAATGAGCCTTGTCTTTGCTAAGACACGGGGATTGTTTACATGCATATAGTTTGAAAAATATCTTAATCATGTTACCATGGTTACTAAATTGCAATTTGTAAACACAAAAAGAGTGACAACTTCCTGTTCTTGCTCAAATACGATATAACCACAACAATAAAAATGTTCTATGATCAGGAGAATCCAGGAAACGTGATATACAAAGACGTTAGTTATAAAAACTTTCGTTGTGAAAAAATAGCTGAATATCTGCGTCGACTTTACCTGCTTCATGTCAGGAGCAGATAACTCTAAATGACCAAGGTACGCGATTCGCGGCAATGACACAAGAAAAGTTTAAGGTCTCATTTCAATAAGTTATATGCTTCCTAAAAATACCAAACTTTTTGTGCATGTACAGTAATGATTATATTAAGCGTATTTGCCCATACTTCAAGAAAATAAATATTTTTACAATATTTGGCATACGTTTAAAAAAAGAGCAAAGTTCAACTTACCGTCGTTTTTTCATCTTTCGTGGTCAGATGCTAGTTTTGCAAAATACGCGCACTTGAACATGTGTACGACGCGACACCATAAAAAAAAAAATCGCATACATTTGGTCAAAATATGCGTACTTGGACCTTAAACGTCGGCCTGTCCGTGACCCAAAATCGTCCGCAATTCTAAAAATAACGACACTAGCGCCCCTAGCGGCGGCTGCGGTCGCTACCATGAATGACAACGCACGGTTTCCTCCGTGTGACAGAAGTTGAGGTCAGGTTTCAGAAAACTCGCACAATAGTCGTGATCTACTTTCACGGAAGCACACATTTCCTTCACCCTCCATCTGTCTTTCTGTCGCTTGGATACTTCTTCAAGACGGTGCTTTTGCTTCTTTGATTTGAAACCATGTTTCAAGCGTGCCATCACTACCAGGCTACGGTCGTCGCTATTTACAAACAACGCTACCGGAAGCGATATTTTGCTTTGCAGCAGTCGTGACATAACCATTAGATTTCGATCTGTAAGTGTTTAGTATATTTATTGCGATGTAAAAAGTCCATAATTACGCCTATAGACTCTATCGAATAAAATTATTAGTGAGTATTATTTATTGTGGTTGTCGTTAATCTTTGCCGAATACGTCTGTTTGAGTTGCGCAGAAGTTCAAAACGTGACCAGCGAACATCCTTAAGTACACAAAAAGTTGCATTTACCTTAGCGTATAAATGTCCTCACCACGTTTACGTTTATATTATGACTATCAAATTTTAGGGTATCCCCATACTATTTGTTTGCATATATCAAGACAACCCTTGAAAATCAGGGTAAGAAATGAGTGAGTGAGTGAGTTAGTTTAGTTTTACGCCTCACTCAGCAATATTCTAGCTATATGGCGGCGGTTGTAAATAATCGAGTCTGGACCAGACAATCCAGTGATCAATAGCATGAGCAACTGGGAACCGGTGAAGAAATGATCCCATGCACCTTTGCTAGTCGAAACTGGCAACTTAGGGTTGGTGTGGTCAAGCCCAGCGACAAAGTTTGATAACCTGGTTTTATAATCCCATGCAAAATTCCATCAATGGATGTTCTGGTCCAGATGTGTTTATTGTACAGTACTTTAGATACAATCTGCAAAATCTGTTTCTTGTTATAGTTTCAGGTTTGACATATTTGACGTTACTTCAAATATTTATTTCGATTAAAAAAACTCAAATTGAGCTGGGTCATGGTTTCAGATGTGGACTTGTTTCAAAAGGCTTTAGAAAGTTGACTACCACAATATTACTGGGAGAGTTTCGGGACATGCCAACGTTTTCTATTTCTCTGGCTGGCTGTCAGTGTTCAGATGAAACTTCTGCCGTCCTGCTGTTGTTTCTCGCAGTGTGTCAGTATAAAGCACGTGAATTTAGTGCAGCACGTGCACTACACTTACCCCCGACACACAGCCTATAAGTTTCCTCTATGGCACTTCTTTATTTCCAAAATGTACTCGCACGCACCGAAACATTACACAGGTAGCGTCCGCTAAACAGTCAGCCAGAACTGAAATCTGGCCGCATATTGGAGCGTCGCTCTCAGCCGTCCCTGTCCAGCTCACAGAGTTCAAGTACAGAGGGCGTGACGTCATCATCGCCAGTTCTGACGTCATAGGTTTCCAGGCGGCTGTACGTCTTGCCGCCAGTGTTCTAGAGAAAGGGTCGGGTCGGGTTGGGGCGGGTCGGGTCGGGTCGGGTCAGGGTATCATAGTATTTTTGCATGACAACGTTCATTTCGTGTGTACTAATGCTAGGGCTAAAATTATGATTTTTAGTGTTTTTTGACCCAATATCTGGTTTTACCAGAAAGTGTCCACGCGAATATTTCCGCATCATGTCTATTATTATTATATAGGTCTTCAGGTTTAATTTGATATATAGATCATGTATGCCTCTCAATTTCATCAAATCTTCTCCCAAAATGGGTTTGTTTCCTGCCCTGTGAGGAGATATAAGAGAAAAGATACCAAATCTGCGAATTTGAAAATATTTGTTTTATCCCAAAATGTTATTGAAAGTAAACCATCCCTGTATTCGGGTCAACCAATACACAATACCTCACAAGTCACGTTGATCCACTTTCAGAACGCAGTCCGATGCTGGTGATAGGACAAGGGTCGTGGAAATAACGACACAGTTCAAAAGGCTGTCAAGTAAACAAAACAACTGTGGCTGGACAGCGGGCATCTCTCTTCACTGTAACCACCCAATTAATGTCTACAGTGTATTTATGTGTGGAATCCAGGTACTTGGACGGAGAGAGACTTTGTTTCTGACTATGCTATACTGAAACAAGATACCAATACATTATCACATTTAATACACAAATATACAACTGCCATATTAAACAACGCATCAGTGACACAATGTATATAGTGTGCAACATTGTCCGACATTATCCAGAGCTAAACGGCAATCATGCGAAATGGGTTTTATTCAACACACCAGTATAACAAGTTTGCAACGTTCTTGGCAACCTGTATCAATGTTGCAATGTCACAACCTCACGAACGTTCGCTTTGCAGCAGATAGCAGGATATCAGTGCTGTGTAGCAACCCACTATGTAATAACAACGCACTATGTAATAAAATTTTCAGAGTCCAAAAACATTTGGGACTTAGGCGATTTTATTACATAACGGGTTATTACAAACTGCGTTACACCAGTAGCAACCCACTATGTAATAACGACGCACTAAGTACTAAAATTTTCAGAGTCCAAAAACATTTCGGACTTAGGCGATTTTATTACAAAGCGAGTTGGTACTTTTGCCTAAGGCTGGAAAATGACTGAAAATCAAAGTTGAAGATATTCCTTCTGGTGAGGACAATATGTGTTCTACACCCTTAATTAAGTGTAAACTTCAGCTTAAACCCGTTCCATCACATGAACTGTTGATATTTCTGAGTTTTCTGATGGTTTATTACAAAACGCGTTGGTATTACATACCGGGTTGAGTAGCGAAATGTAATAAGATTTTGCACATCTTAACGCATTATGTAATAAAATCTTCTAAGTCCAAAACAGTTTCGGACTTAGGCGATTTTATTACAAAGCGAGATGGTACATTTGCCTAAGGCTGGAAAATGACTGAAAATCAAAGTTGAAGATATTCCTTCCGGTGAGGACAATATGTGTTCTACACCCTTAATTAAGTGTAAACTTCAGCTTAAACCCGTTCCATCATATGAACTGTTGATATTTCGGAGTTTTCTGATGGTTTATTACAAACCGCGTTGGTATTACATACCGGGTTGAGTAGCGAAATGTAATAAGATTTTGCACATCTTAACGCATTATGTAATAAAACTAACAAAGTGTCTAACGTCACCTGTAAGCCTGGAAAATGACTGACAAGCAAAGTTGATGATATTCTTTCAGGTAAAGATAATACATGTCCTACACACTTGACTAAGTGTAAACTTCAGCAAGCCCGTTCCATGATATGAACTGTTAACATTTCTGAGTTTTGTGATAGTTTATTACAAAACGCGTTGGTATTACATACCGGTGAAGACAATATGTGTTCTTAATTCTAAACTACATGAAAACCTTCTGATCGTTTATTGCAATACCGAGTCCCTGAATAATGACAGTGTGCAGAATATGTACATTACGTTTTCTGTGGAAGCAAACACAATTGAACCACAATGTAGTTATGAGTGCAATGATCAGTATGTAACACAATTAGCTTTCTGATCGAATAGTGTATTTACGAAAATCGAAACGAGAAACAAATGCCCAACACCTGAGTTAAAATGTTAATATAATTGTGAATCTGTACTGTTCGAAAGACCTTACTACTTGGGCGCCCAAAGACAGACTGCCAACACATAGATTTACATATTCTTGAGTTTCCACATCTTAACACTTTATGTAATAAAACTTACAAAGTGCCAAACGTCAACCTTAGGAAGATATTCCTTCAGGTGTTTTCTGGTAGTTAATTGGTGGGAGCGGGCTCACTTGCCGCCCCTTCAATAAAAACACCATACCGTACATAAAAGTGGTGTTTCTTTTTCTTTGTGGCCGTTGTTACGCCGCATAGAGCTTACGCAGTATAGATCTTACGTATAAGCTGTATTCGGTGGTTGACAACGTATAGAGCGTACGGTGAGCTATATTCGTTGGTTGAAAACGCATACCAGAACGGCATGCAGGGTTCACGTAACACCTAATGACGTCGTAAATGACGTCAAAGTGTATGTCATTTCAGCATAATCAGTCATTTTCAGGTAAAGAAACATACCATATAATGTCATAAATGACGTCATAAGACGTTACGATAACGTCACATAACGTTTTGACATACTTTACACAAAACCTTTCAGCTTCAAAACTGATATATAGGACATGATACATTTAATTCCTAACTATTACAATATTTTTCTTTATTAGCGGGACATATATTTTTGGACATACTGTACAACTTACTTAAGCTCTATACGTTGGATATATACATACATTCTTTAAATAACGTTCCCATCGTGGGTGAACAGTAAAAGAGTATATAATGGCAGTAACAGTAACTGTAGTAGACGTAGTAGCCTTAACAGTAGTAGAGCAGCAACAGCAGTAGCAGCAACAGCAGTAGAAGTTGTAGCAGTGGCAACAGTAGTGCTGGTGGTGTTGGCTGGTGGTCGTCGTCGTAGTAATAGTAGCAGTAGTGGTAGTTGTAGTTGTCGTCGTAGTAGTAGTCGTAGCGGTAGTCGTAATCGTTCGTCGTAATCGGTCTAGTAATAATTGGTTTATTCCATTAAGGGGGCCAAAGGCCCATTATACAGTTACATGAGTCATATCATGAAAGTGGAAATCTGGAGCGCCATAACACTGTACAAGGTCAATAAACATACACTTAATGGGTTGTACAAGTTTTGTTAAGGTAATTGTTACGTTGTTTGAATGCAAGGAACAGAAACTTCGCTAAACGATTTAAAATACCTAAATCGTGTGATGTGCAAAGTAATACCAGTTTATCATAAGAAGGATGAGTACAATAGAACTCAGGCAAAATTGTACGTCTGAGATTATAGTAAAAAGGACATTCCAAACACATGTGATATTCTGTCTCAATTACAGGTATAACAAAAAATGGACATAATCTAGAATTCTTGACAGACCAGATTTTCTTCCAGACTCTTTCATTAACTGATGGCCTGAACAGCGAAATATACTGAGAGCCTTACGATAA